TAGTTCAGTAAGGTTTGAAACAAGCAGTTATTCTTCTACTGACACTGCAGAGTGTCTGTATTACACTGTAATGAATAATGAGGAACACATATTCAGGTTTGTGCAAGCACATACAAATATTTTCTGCTTCCTCAACCAAATATCCCTAAAATTTACCCACATAATTTGAACTGAGGTGTGGACAGTGAGTTCTGTAGCACAAAAGCCTCTCTGACGTGCAAGAGCTGCACAAAATAATTCTACCATCAACAAATGCTCTCACCACAATTTTTTTCTAAGATAAAATTCATGCAAGAAAGTGATTTAATTTTATAACCAACTGAACAGAAAGGCTGAGCAAGTCAACTATAGGTTGAGTAATATAATGGCATGATCATCAGACAATGCCTAAAAAGACGGGAGAGTAAGAGGCACCATTTCCCCGAGCTCAACTCTTCCAGGCCTCATCCCAAAGAAACTATGTATCTATTGATCTAATTCTGAAAAACGAGATTGTTGGTAGGCTAAATATGTAACAAAACTAGGAGCTGCTACATAAAATAGATAACCTGAAGGAAGACAGAAGAAAAGCAGAAACCATCAACTCCAATGGTATCCCTGAAAATCCAAGACACATGACTTTAAGGCACAGTACAGCAAGGCTGAAGAGTCATCCATGCTATCGCATGTTTCTTTAACATACCCCCATTTTAAGAAACTTAAAAGCATTACAACTTGGGTTAACCGATGGAAAAAAAGTACTGTAGGCAAAAAAAAAATCAGTTTGAATGTTTATACCCACTTCTTCAAACATAAGCTAGCACTAACTGCTGTGTGACTTCAATTAACAGGAGAGCTAATAGAAGAAAAAAAAAATTGTAGTTCAAGAAGAAAAAAGAATGAAAGGAAACCAGACATTTGGAAATCTAGGTTTCAATTGCTTATCCACTTACACAATTACATATTTTTAAAAAAGCCCACAAACCTCTCCTTTTTACCAAGTGATTAACAAAGATATAATGACATATTCCATCTTATCCAAGCAGTTTGCTTAAATATGAACTGGGACAGTCTTTGACAATCCACTCATTTTTTTGGTAACACAAATTTTGTCATTCTGATCTAATGTCTCGTTGCAGCTTCTCAGTTTTAGGCATGGATAGGATCAAAGCAATACAGAATCTTTTTTAAATGAGTTACTAAAAAATTAGAAAATCAGGTCCCAGCAATTTGAAACAATTAACTCAAAACTGTGGATCCCACATTTGGAATTAACTATTTTCCAGAATTCACCAACTCTCTGAAATATGATAAAACTTCTAAAATTAAACATAATGAGCTTCCCCCATATATCTAACCAGAACCTTTAAAAACCATTCATTGCCTACCTGAACCATCACTGGACACTGAACTTGCATTGATTCCAGAAAGGCCAAATAAGGGACATTCTCGATCGGTGTTTATATGACCCCACTTGTGGCATTTAATACATCTCACATTCCGCACCTAAAGGCAATAAAGCCAATTGACACAGTTTAGTCACCCGCAGAGCCAAATGTTTACAGCAACGTCTGTGTCATTAGGCATAAGAGAAGCTTTTAAACCCACTGAACAAGAGATGATAAAATCTAGTGAACATTCTGCATAGACAACATTTGAAATACACCCCAGACATCCACAGAGTGAAATTTATGTGACTTGCCTGGATGCCAAACGGCTGATCTCTGATGTTCATATCATCCTTAGCGTATCTGTTACACAAACACGAAAGAAAACAAACACTCAATTCACTATTGCTTTTTAAAAGGCACCATATACAAAATTACCTTCTGTTGCTAAGTGTTCACCCATTTCAGAGGTGTAATTCCGGTAAACATTGTTTTTCATGTGTCAAATATGGATGTAAAAATCAAACAGAAATAAAGCTGAGCAAGGAAATAGTTCCAGGTTAACAGGTTTTACTAATTAAGAGTCAGGATGCGACAAGATCACACAAGTGACCTGCTCAGAAATGTAACAGGGGAAAAAAGGGGACAAATAGAAAAGTATGTGAAAAATCCAGATATCTTACTTTTCTCGAGGAGCAACTTTTTGCCATTCAAATTTGTATTCAGTCTCTCCTTCTTGCTATAAAACAAAACATATGGTAAGTTTGAAGTTTTTCAGAATACATTTAAAGTAAGCAAGAAGAAAACATAAAATAATATAATGAAATACCTCTTTTGTTTCCTCTTTGAATTTTCAGAAAGCAGGCAAAGAAAAGAAATGATGCATTAATTACATATGTAAAATGCAGATGGTATTTCCCCCTAAGCTAAAGACAAAACATTTTATCGTTTCTACTAAACAACAGTGCAAATACTCAGAAAATAGCTTTATTTAGAGTGCACTTAAAATAACTACTCTCTAGTATATAGCTATAAATCCTGTAAATCCACAATCACCTTCTAAAACTTGTTACTTCTAAAATTTGTTATACAAATAAAAACTTCAAACATTTTTTGCAAGAGTAGCAACAATACTTTTAAGATATTAAAAAAAAAAGTTTAGCAATAATTGCTACTTTGAAATTACATTTCCTCTAAGCTTAAGAGATTACTACTAGAGCTTCTAAAGTTAAATAATTGCAAAACCTGGTCTACAAGAATGAGTCCATCCAAGCATTTCCAAGGGCTTTAATGCAAATGGAAAAGGTGTATTTTAAAGGGAACATGTTTTCTCTTAGAGAGAACATATTTTCTTACTTCTTCACTTATATTCAGAACTTGCTAAAATTAAGTGATTGATATGAGTGTCCACCAGGTATTTAGAAACTTCCATTTATGACACTAGTAAACAGTCATAAACTCACCAGACACAGGACAGGCAGCACTTTTGACTATTGAATTTCAGCATTTATTATTTTTATAACTTCTGATAATTAATTTCTTGCTCTGGTATGTCCTGTGCTTGACAAGCACCAAGCTGCATTATGGGTGTAATGTTTAAACAAAAGCAACCTGCTATTTCTGTAAAGGAGTGCAGGCAGGCCAAAACAGGTTTGTGCAGACATGTCTGAGTTGCTGCCTTGGTAAGGTCTAGTCCTCATCCAATGGCTTTATAATTGGCTAAAGAAACACCCTTGGTCGAGGACAGAATTCATGCTGTTTCCTGGAAAGATATTTTATCTGGTTGTACACTTCACATTGAACTGTTGCTCAAAAATATCCCAACCATTGTCTTTGAATGAAATTAAAGTTTTGTGAGATCAAAATTATTACATACTGTATCTATATCTACCTATGTCTGTATAGTCCCACAGAAAGAATTAAAAAAATCGCACCTCCTATCATTACCTCACCATGATTATGTTATTTTAAATAACACATTGTGCTTATTCTTCAGAAGGTTTTTAGCTTTGCAGTACTATCTGTCCACAATCAGGAAATTGCAATACCTTTCTTTGCTCCAGGTGGGGCCTCATACATGAAATTAAGACCATTCTTCACACGCTCATCACCCATAAGCAACCTAATTAAAAAGGGCATTTGGGATGTTACATGCAAAACAATCACATTGGCAACACTCACAAAAAACCCATAAAAACAAAAGTAGGAAATTGTTGTGATAACTAGCATTTTTTTTATTTGTTAATGGGAGTAACAAAATCTGAGTATTAAAAAACCTGAAAGACCAGTCAATGCTTTTGCATGACCCACTGTGTACCAAAAATCACACATTTCAATCTCAACTGAAAAGTAGTAGGTCCAGAGTTACAGATTTCTGTGTGATACAAAAGTATTGTTATACAAGGTTACCGACTGTTCTATGAAACGTAGCATATTTTGAAATTAATTAGAAGATGGACACAAAACCACTTTAAAGTAGTTCTTGTGACTTCTGCTTAATCAGATATCACTTAATGAATCACTGCTCTCTCCTACTACTACTACAGTCAATGGGAGACAGTAGTTCAATTTGCTCACAGCAATACGATCTTTACTACCATGAAAACAAGACAGGAGGAAGAAGTGTGTGATCTTAAGCCAATTCTCACCTATTGTCATAGGATTCCTGTTCTTTCAGATACTGTTGCATTAATTCTTCTTGTTTCTTCTTATCATATGAGATTTTCTGTTCTGCCATCCATACCTAGTTAAAATAATTAAGCTTCTACTTAAATACAAAAACTATTGAAAAATATATTAGTGTATAAATAACTGGCTTACTCAATTAAAAATGATTAACAAGGGATGATCACCCTTCAAATTGTATAAAATACATTATTTTCATGCAGTATTTTAAAAACGAACTTCCCACAGCAGTAATTTTGAGAAACTCCAAGTTCCAACAACACTTATGCACTGAAAAGACAAGACAAAATTTATTAGCTCAAAAGGAAAACTAAGCTCAGAAAATACCCTGTGGGTGCCACTGTCTTCCCTGCAGTGACCCTTGCTCAGCAAAGTCTCGATAGACCCCAAGCCCCAGGTCCCCTCGGGGGTTCCTGGCATGGGCACAGTTCTGCAGAGGACACCTGCAACCAGCTCGAGGCGGGTATGAAATACTGGGAAAATATGGGCACATCGTGACAGGTGGGTTTGTCCTGGACGCTGTACGCTGCCTGTTAGTCCTGACAATCAGGCGTTGAAAAGCCTGGGCCAGGAAAATGCGACAGTCATACACACCTGGGAACGAGGAAACTCGAAGTTTCAAGTATTTCTGAACTACTTTCCCTGCCTCCTCCTTCCTCTTTGCCCCAGCCCCGGTGCCACCCCACGAAGGTGAGGAGCACTGCTCGGGCCGCTGCGGTACCGGCACCCCGTCCCCCCGGGGCATCCCCAGGCCCCCCTCACCTTTTTGATGTTGGACTTGGAGGCGGGGTGAAAATCCTTCTTGCACATGAAGTTGGCGAATGACTTCCCCATGGCGGCAGCGGAGCGGGAGCCGCCGGCCCCCACACGGACAGGGACAGGGACAGGGACAGGGCCGGAGGTGCTCCGGAGCGGCCTCGGCCGGGCCTTCCGGGTCGGCGNCTCGGACCGGCCGGCAGACGAGGTGCAGGAGGTCGTGCACTTCCCGGCCGCCGAGCACCCGCCGGGCGCCGCGCTGGAGGTGAGGGCGCGGGGCAGGAGCGCTCCTGCGGGAGGCGGCGAGAACGCCGCTCTCAGCCCTTATCTGCGTGCTCAGCCCGCGATTCGGCCGGCGGCTCGGGGACGGTGACTCGATGTGTGCTCTGACCTCTTGCAGTGCACCTACATCAGCATCGAGCAGGTGGAGAGGACCCACGCCGTGGTCCTGAGCCGCCCTTCCTGGCTCTGGGGGGCCGAGATGGGCGCCAACGAGCACGGCGTGTGCATCGGCAACGAGGCGGTGTGGGGCAGGGAAGAGATCTGCGATGGAGAAGCTCTCCTCGGCATGGACCTCGTAAGGTGTGCACGGGCTTTGTTTTTTTTTTCTCTTCCTTTTTGGCAGATGGTACCGAATTTGGAATTTACGTGGAAACATGTGGTTTGAGTCATATGGAGAAACAGTACTTTCACTTTCAGAAGGCACTTTTTCCTCTGTTCTAGTCACGGGTAAAAATAAGTATTTCTTGGCATAAGCACTAGGTTTCTGCCAGGAGCCCTTGAGAAGTATCAGACACTAGAACAGAATTTGTCAAAGAAATTAGCAAACATTTTTCTTTCTATAAAATTTATACTAAACCAAAAGAAGACTTTTTCAAGAGCACAGGTGGGCTTCAGGCACTACTATTTGTGCCTTTTCCTAGGGTCTGTACTCCTTTTCTATTCCCCCATCTTTCACATACGTATTTTAAGTTTTGGTCTTAGCTGCCTATTTCCAAGTTCATGTTCCAAGTTCATGTTCCTACCCGACAAATGCCACTGTAACTCTCATTAAGCTACAGCAGTCAGTCAGTTCTTTTGGTAGTTCCCCCCAGTCCAATATCTGCACACAGGACTTGTAAGCATTTTGTAGGATTCCTCTCTTTCTGTATTTCTATTTGGTGTTTTTCCCCACGTCAAGTTCGCAGAGGACCCACTTCAAAGAAGCCCTCTACCTGACTTGTGTTGCCCTTACCAGATCATACAACTGGCAGCTGCATATGCAAATATCAACTTGAATACTTGGGCTGAATAGTACTATATGGAGTTCATCGTTCCAAAAATAACATATTCCTTCTGTTTTAGGCTTGGACTTGAGAGAGCAGACACAGCTGAAAAGGCTCTTAGTGTCATAGTTGATTTGCTGGAAAAATATGGACAGGGAGGAAACTGTATGGAGAGCAACATGGCATTTACATACCACAACAGTTTTCTGATAGCCGACAGAAAGGAGGCATGGGTGCTGGAGACATCAGGAAAATACTGGGCAGCAGAAAAAGTAGAAGGTATGGATGTTGATCTTCATTCTAAACATTTCAAGTGCGACGACCACTTGGGGTTCCCCAGTTTTCATTTACCATTTCATTAAGGCATCAAACTAACCTCGAGCTGCATACATGTGCCTGTAAACAACAGGTGTTGCTTCCTGCAGCATGAGTGTGGAGTAGCTGGTGGTTTGTCAGAGGAGCTGAGTGACAGGGGCCTTTTCAGAGCCAGAGATAATCACTCCTGCTCTTGGAAAACAGAGGACAGCAAGAAAGTCAGAATGAGAATGACAGTATGTGTGGTCTTAAGGATGGTAGTAATCCATGACAATTTCATCTGGGGACAGGACTGATGTACTGGGCCGTGAAGTGGCTGATGCTTTTAGTGGACTTAGGAGGACAAGCTCGATCTCTGGATGTCTCAGAAGAAGAAGAATGTAAAGGTGGGAATAATCAGGACAGAACCTGAAATACAATGTTTGCAATAGAAGCAAATGAGTCAGAAATGAGTGATGGTGAAAACTCAATCAGAAAAATACATGTAGCATGGGAGAGATGGCCAGAAATACACCACCAGACTCACTGATCCTGTAAGGAACTCTTCAGGGCTAGTTTGCTTTACTAAACTAATTGTAAAGAAAATACCAGGAAAAATCATTCAATATATTTTAAAAAATCTCTCTGCAACTTGCAAACAGGAGGTGTACGGAATATTTCCAACCAGCTCTCTATCACAACCAAGATTGACAGAGAACACCCAGAACTGAAGGAATATGCCAAAAGCAATGGCTGGTGGGATGGGGAAAAGGAATTTGATTTTGCTGCAGTGTATTCTTATGTCAATACTGCCAGAATGACCACATCCGGAGGCCGATATTGTGAAGGCTATAAACTTCTGAACAAACACAAAGGTATCCTTTTAAATTATTTTCAAGATGTGCAGAGTATTTAGTGAGCTACATTAATTTAAATCATAAATGATTATACATCTGATGCAGGCAATCATTCACATGACTTGGTGAACCAGAACTTACTAGAATGATTTTCTGCCTAAAACAGAAGCACTGAACTTGGAAGTTTTTATTCATTTTTTTCTCATTTATTGAGGAGGAAAAATTAAAACAAGGGTCAAATATTAAATATACAGAGCTATAGTAACAACCCTGAGAGGTCACATTATGACCATACCACTAAATGCCCTGTAAGACATGTTCTGAAACATTTTGATAGGCTACATATTATTACTGTACCGCTAAGGAAAAAAACTAAAGGCTAAAACAGATTCTCAGCAGTTTGCAGCCACAGAGAACCTTATGAACAGCTTCAGTCAGGTACCATTTATATAAGGCAACAGCACAGCATTCAGATACATATCCTGCATTTATTTTTGACATTGATTTTTAAATCTTTGTAGTTTCACTATAATGGCTACTCTAAACTTGTGTGATCTACTAAAACACACCAAAAGCAGAACAAAATAATTTTCTGTACTCTAAGCACTCACTAGCTCATATGCTTGCTTTTCAGACTTCTTACTTCTAACTGCATCCATCTAGCAGATTTTTGCTGTAGTTGTATTCATGTGCTCATTTGAAATAATTAATCTGAATCAAGATTACATTGCACCCCCTTGTTTCTTTTATTTATTTGGCTGAACTCTAACAGACCAGGTTTAGCATTTAGTTAATGCATCAGAGTGAATTACTTTTGCTATCTTGTTTTAGTAATCATGTAAATCCTGCATTTATTTTCGGAATTGCAGGTTCTGAATACTGAAAGCATTTTCATAATACCTGTATTTACTTGTATTATAACAATGCTGAGATTGTATCTGTGTTTTCATTCTAAATCCCCATTTTCAGGCATTTACCTGAGCCATTTTAAAAGTCCCACTAGGTGTTCAGGTTATCAGCCTCATATGGTTCACTTTGTTTAGATTTATTTTAAATGGGTGCCCTAACTAATAGCTATTTGGTTTACAGCATCACTGAAATCACTGGTTTCTTCATCTATCCTTCCCTGGTTTTTCTCTCCGTGGCCTTACAGTTGTGGGGTTTTTTCAAGCTGCCCACTATGTCAGGACCATTTTTAGAGAAATATTCATATTTCAAAAAATAGGGAATGTATTTCATGCATACAAAATAGTAAGAGTCTAGTGAAAAATATGCAATACCTTCTTCCCTGCTGGACAGGTTGCTAAACTGTAGCTGTGAAAATGACCATTGATTCTTTTAATTTCTTTGATTCGTCTAGCTTGCTGATTTCATTAATTCTCCAACCTTGCCAGGCAACTATAGGAATACTTAAGTGTATAAGTAAAATTGGTAAAATGTTGTGCTGCATGCCTGTCCACAGGTAGCTTGGGTCATGTATGAAAAAATAATATCAGAGATGTGTGACTTAGCAGCAGAGTATTTTAAGAGGAAACAGCAAGGCAGTTAAAAAATTTTTTTTTTTTTTTACACTGAACTCAGTAAGGGAAACACTAAAATATTAAAGTGGTAGATGGTACCTTCCAATAAAAAATAAAGAGTGAGCAAACTGATGTTTTTCTGCCATAAGCATACCCTCTACTGGTATAGCAAATGTTAAAAGAAAACCATTCAGCAAGAACTGCCTGTTAGAATATTGGGTGGTGTGGCAATACCATGCCAGTATCTGAGCTCCAGCATACGTTATATAGCAACATTTTCACAGTGATATCACCTGAACAGGCTTATGTGGAAAGGGTTTCGTTCCTCCTGAGCAGGAGTTATTTTCATAGACCCTTGGCACTAAACCTCACACAGGTTGCTGATAAAGACTTTTCTACAAATGGATGTACTACTGTAGCTTCTGAGCATAGAATATAATGCCACTCCAGTGCATCCTTGAAAAGGATGAAAATAAAACACCCACCAAAATCCCGCCACGCAAAACAAGTGACAGTCTTGGTGTTTCATTTTCAAAGTTTCACACTAAATCCATGCATGGCTGTTACTGTTTTTGATAACATTATTATTAGAATGATTATTTATAACAATTATATATAGAATTATAATGCTATTCTAAATAATAGTTTCTAATAATATATACTGTACAATAATATATAATAATATATAATAAATAAGTCATTATAATGATTATTTATTATTATTATAATGATTATTCTTAGCTCCACAGAATGCTCAAAATTCAGCATTTAATCCAAATTACTATTTTTCATCTGAAAAGTTACTTTGTGAATGACCATTTGCTAGCCCTATGAAATTTTAAGGTTTGCCATTAGGATGACTTTTTTCTCCTGCCAACACAGACAAACTAAAACTGGCATTTGACTATTAAAGGAAAAAGCAGCCAGTTGTAGGGAACATGTAATTCAGTTGGTATTATATTAGCTCTGTGGCTAAATAATTGTATTGTATCTTGAATAGGATCTATCACTTCTGAAATAATGATGGAAATTCTTCGTGACAAAGAGAGTGGCATTAACATGGAAGGTGGATTTATGACAACTGGCAGCATGGTGTCTGTACTGCCTCAGCAGCCTAATCTTCCCTGTATTCACTTCTTTACTGGAACTCCAGATCCTGCCAGGTGATGTAGAAGCAAGTAAATTGGATAAAAAATTGTAAATATCTAAGTGGAAAAGTGTTGCAGTTTGCCTAATTATGTTCTTTTTTGCTTTGGGTTGGTTTTCTTTTTCCCTCTGAAAAAGCACAATCAAAGTGTAGGAGGAACATCAATGTACATTATATATATTAATGGTATCAACCTACTTAACAGAGCACTGCTGTGACAATGACTTTAACACCAGTTAGATGGTTTTTTTAATACTTCTTTCTTAAAAGAAGCAAGTAGAAGAATGGGGAAAAAATACAGCAATTTTCTGACTCAACAATTTTAACCAAATGGTGTCAGTAAAGGATCTTTGTTCTATTTTTTCTTCCTAGATCTGTATTCAAGCCTTTCATTTTTGTGCCCGGTATTACTCAGTTATTAAAAACTACATCCCCTACATTTGGTCATGATGATCCAGTTAAGAAGCAACCACGTTTTCAGAGTAAGCCAGATCGAAGACATGAGCTCTATAAAAAACATCAAAGTGCTGCTGTAGTTATGGAAACTATCAAGGTATGTTGATTAAATTAGATTTCAATGCAAGCAGGTGGTTTATATAAGGTCCTTGCTCACATTTTGTTAATGTGATACCAGTTAATGGCCTTTGATGGATTGCAAAGAACAGTGCAGTACCCCAGAAGCCCAGCATGTTGGCATCTGGCAGGCACGTGTTTCCAACACTGGAAATTGCAGCCAGCACTGTGCTGTACTGGCAGGATGAACCCCAGGTGAGGATCTGTGTTGCTCACCTTGCAGAGCAGCCCCCCACAGACTCCCACACCAGTCAGATAATGGAGAAATGCTCGAGCAGCTGCAGAAAAATACACAACTCCTGCTAAGAGTTCTTGCAGCTATTCAGGCCCTTGGTCTCAGGTGGAGAGCTTGCTTGGTATGGATAGGAAAGGAAACAAGATGACAAAGATAGCTGAACACAGATGTGCAGCAAGAAGGTAGCTGCTTACTTTTAGCAGTAAAATCTCTCCTATTTACAGATACATCTTCTTAAAAGTAAATCATATGCCCACTGAAGTTTTGGTAACTAATATCTAAAGGAGCTCTAATATTTCTTCGCTCTATTAGACAAGGGAGATGAAGTGAGTACTAGATATTAGGAAAGATATCTAAGGAAACTTGTCATCATACTGACTTCTGCCAACATAAAGGTGTACCCTAGAAACTCTTAAAAGATTAAAATAAGGACAGTAGAACAGAATTTTGTTAGGGTGATTACTACGTACTCTGTATAGTTTTTAGTGAAATAAATGTTTCTTTTTGCAGGACAAAGGTAAAGAAATGCTCCAAGAGATACAGGAGTTGGAGAAACAGAAGATAAGTCAAATGGAATCAATCCTGCAAAATGGATGCCTTGATATTAACCAAGTAGTTAATCTTTTTTCACAGTGTGTAGAAGAAGAACTCAAAATATATAGCTAATAATATTATTTGAATGTGGTAAAATTTGGATTATAATTGGGTTTTCTAATGAAGAGGCTATATAGATTAACACCCTGTTTTCAGTATACCACATAGCATGGACAGTTTTAAAGATTCAGATTCCTATTCAGGACAAATGGCTTTTGATTATAAGAAGAATGCTGGGAAGGCTCCTAAGAGCCAGACAGTGACTTTGTACGTGGCACAAAGCTGTCAGCAGAGATTGACTTTGCTGAAAAATAGATGCAATCAGAGTGCAATAGCTCGACTATCTAAAATGCAGAAGCTATGATGAACAATGAATTAAAAAGGAAGTGACACACAAACAAAGTAAGATTGATACTCAGTTGCTTGGTAAAACCACTCTAAGTTACATTTCATATATGAACCTTCTACTACTTCAATGTAGAACGAGGCTATGAGTTCAAGGTATATTAAAAACAAATCACAATTACAAGAATAATATTTTGCTGTGAGTGATTGTGAAATCTTATTACATGAAATTCAACAATGCAAGCATCCTGTAAGTTATCCACAGATTTCACTTGCCTATCTATTTTTCCCATTCTGATAGTGAAAAATAAACTTATTTATATACAAGATGATTATTGTCAAATTAATTCTGCAGTGCACTTTATAATATCATGGAGTTCTAAAATGTTTCTTGAATTCTTTTAAATTGGGCAACTAGAAAGGAAGAGGTTGAGCTACACAAGTATATACATGTACTCAGCAAGATACTTAAAAGTACTTAAAATTTTTTTCATTTCATATAAAGCCTTTAAAATCATGACTTGTTTTACCAGAACTAATAGACTATGGACTTAATTTAATCAAGCTTTTTGCCCTGGAACCATGAATGGAATGCCAGGAACATTTCCTTCCTGATTCTGTTTAAAAGTAATGATCAATGTATGACACCACTTTAATTATCTGTGGCAAGGGCTAAACCAAACAAACAAAGAAGATTGTGATTTTATCTCATGATCAATAAATCAGGATAACAAGCAGGACTAAGAAAAAACAAAAACATGCACTCAAAATGCAGCACACTTCTGCAAACCTTCAGAAGAAAATATGAAATGGTGCACTAGAACTGCAGCAGCAGTGTGGGACATGATCCTACATCCCCACAGACACAGCAAACCACAGAAAGATCATTCTTTGATGATTTTTCACATGCGGTTTTCTCATTCTGTAAACTATTCAATACCCCAGTGGTAAAAAAAAAAAAAAAGTTAAATATAAAGAATAGATAGTCAATGAAGTTTGCAGAATTAATACAAAAATTAAGAGCTTGGTAGAATTTCTTCTTTCTGATCCTACAATGAGAGTAGGAATTTGGGATGCTGGTGTTCAGATTCACAGCAAGAGACAACTGAGCTAGGAAAGGCTCATGAACTTTCTGTTTCTAGCAACCTAATGTGTACCACGTGGCAGTAGCAAGCAAGACTGAGTGGGAGGTAAGACAAAGTATGTTTGAATTGACTGAACATTTTGTGCTTCTGTTGACAACAAAATTTCTCAGAAGCTCAGTAGTACAGTGGTTCAATATAGAAGTCCAATAGTCCAGCTTGTTAAGCAGAAGATAGATTTAATAAAAAATTGCTGTATTTATCTGTTTTCCTTATGGGATGTCCATATCAAACAATTATATATCTTTTCCTATTTTTGATCATGAGCTGTTCTACACTAATTCTTTCACAGCATCAGTAAATGCCAGTGCTGGAAACCAAGGTATGAATCAAGTTTTCAGGCAGCATAGCAAACCAAGTGAAATTGTTTTATGCTACAGTGCAAAGATTGAAGTTATACAAGAATAACAATAGTAAAGTTGGAGCAGACCTTTAAGCAAACTTCTTGGCCACTTAATCAGAGGGTGGCAATTGACGAGGTTAAGGACATTAGGTCCAGTTGTGATGTAGGCAGCTACAGTCCAACTGTCCCTCTTAGTTATGTGCCTTTTCCTTAATGGTCTACAGGATACAAAGTAAAAACAGTGTAATGTGTGGGGACAGTGCAAGTGATGGCCAACAGAATACAGGGTATTTCAGTACCTTTTTCCTTGGGATTGCATCCTCCTAGAAGACACACAATGTAAAAACAGAAAATAAAGATGGGATCAGGAGAAACAAATAATCCTCCCTACCACAACCTTATATTAAAAAAAAAAAAAAATAAAAATTAAAAATCAGAATGTCCCCTAGAGGGCAATCTTCACAGGGGTTTTTACCTAGGAACACATCTAACTGACTTTAAAAGATTTAGAGCTTTATGAAGGATCACTATTGAAATGAAAAAGTCCTAAAATTTTGTACTAGAAAACAAAGTGTTATATTCATTCCTGTTCCTTATCACAATTATTTTGAGATTACACTAGAAAAAAGATCCAATTTTTCACTGGGCATTCCTCTAGATTTGTTCAATAGATGTTTTCATGGAATTTAGCTTCCAAGAGATTTATCCCAAACTAATCCACATTCAAAATAAAGGAAGTCATTGCACCACTGACCACATCTTTAAAGAAAAGCTGTTTCTAACTACCAGAAAACCACATAATAGTATATCAACTATTGACAGAACATCAGCTTGTCAACTGTTCAAAACTTGCCAGTGTTCCTTGGTGGAAGCGAATATTTACCAGATAAAAGGGTCACTTAACTTCCTAAAGCAATTCAAAGTCTATTATTGGCTTCCAGAAGTATCCAGTGATTTAGAAACAAAATATTATATCCTATATTTCATTTCTAGCTTCTTTAGTCTATTTATTAACCATCACAGACTCATCAGACTAATGGGTATGGTAGCAGCAGTCACAATGTTGTAGCAATAAATCTAAGAGAATTTGGTGTTGGTTGATAATTAAAGGTGCTCTCTGTATTAGATTTGTGTCAGAGAGCCTTTTCTACACAGAAATTTTGAGCAATTTCTTATTTAAAATGGATATGTATTCAAATACAGGGGAAAGCAGGGCCATTAAAAAAAGGGAAGCAGGACTTTTATGATGAAAATGACAAAGACAAGCATGCAAGAACAGTGACTATAAATAGAAATGTAAAAATACCTTAAGATAAAATTCTTGAACATTTGAGGAATTAATAAAAAGAATTTGTATTTAGTAAGTAGATGACAATGTGACACGCTTCTAGTACAGAGATATCTTTGGATGAACACCCATTATAAAGGGCTCTGCCTACTTGTAAAGGATCAAGGGTGGATTTAAGAAATACCAAAACTGAAACCCAAGAGCCATGTTAACAAATCTCTCAGAAAAATATATTTGCCATAAACCTTGACACACACACATAACCTCATACCCCACATCACAGATCAGAACTCTGAAATCAAGTAACAGATTTATTGACAAGTTGCAGTATTTAGAAGCCAGACATACTTGCAGTTTCTGCTCTTAAGTCACATATATCTAATTATTTCAAAACATTTGATGCAGCTGTCTTCATAATGGAAATATGCCAATGCTTTCTTTTGTGGCCACAGCCTGACACAAACATTAATTATATTATTGATGGTAAACATTAAAATATACCAGGTTGTACAGCATACATAAGCAGTAGGATGTTATGTTTCTGTGCACACTGCAATCAGACTGACAGTAGAAGGAGTTATTTTTTCAATTTAAGTCTTGCAGGAAATTATAGCAACCATAAAACAACTGCTTGTTGAATAGTAGCTTATGGTGCTAAAATCACTTTAAGTTCTTAATACAAAATAGATGCAAAAGTAGCTGTAATAAAAATCTGTGTACTAAAAAAGAGGAATAAAATAAGGGAAAGACTTTAAAAAAATGATGAGAAGAGTTATTCATATGCTTGAGCAAATAATTTTTAATATTGGATTCCTTTCCCTCACTACATAAAATTTTTATATAGACATATAAATGCAGTTCTTGCAGTTTTAAAAGGGCAGCATAATGGCTATCAGATACAATACTTTGTTTTTAACCTTTTCAAAATATTGCAGAAGACACACAGGTCCTCAGATTGTGCCTTTAGTGCACAGGAATCTCAGTGACACTAACAAACAGGATGATACCTGAGGTTTATTAGAAACCTGTGTTAGGCAATAAACTAAAATCTAGGATATTTAGCTACTCTAAACCCTAATCTGGATGTCCATTTAGGATTCTTTATATAATATAGTTAAAAGTCATTAATTTAATTTTAAAAGTTTTATGATTTGAAAAAAGAATTTGTCTTGACTTGCACATGTACCCAAGGCTTCCATAAAATCTGTACTCGAGGCTGGCACTTCTGATTTAAGTAAAGACTAATTTCAGAATGTAAAAATCTGCTCTTGATAAAGCTGTTACTACCACCATAAGGCAAAATTTCAAAACAAATTGTTTATTCCATTATATAATTTCCTGTTTTGGGATAGTGCTGAATATTTCTATGGTTTTAAGATTTGATAGATTTGCACAAAACCATTGCTTATTCTACTCAGTATTTGCCCAGCTTTAATCCCCTGGATACTGGAAACATTGTCACAGCAATTCTGTCTTTTTAATTGGAGTATTTTATCTTCAAGGGAGGCAAAACCCACCTGATCTCAGGTGTAAGCAGCTAAAAAATGCTTTCTGGTGTTAGACAAGAGCAGAGTAGTAAAAACTGAGGTATGACAGAAAAAATCCTACTTCCGTGAAGTCAGGGGAAAGCCTGACTGTAAACAGGCATCAGTATTTCATCACACTAAAATGTGGAGAACATCCAGCAACATGAAAAATACCTTTCACAGGGTTGTTTTTTTCCTTATTGTGGCATCAGTATTAAAGCTGCAGCTATAATGCCTCTAAAATACGACAGTGACACATACCATTTTACTATTTGTTTTGCTCAAAATGGAAAAAATGTTCTCAATCCAGAGCATCTGGTTTTGTTTAGTAGCATTCTGGCTGGAATGCTGATTAAATATAACTTTTTGCCATTTTCTTCAGAATAGATACAAATAGAACCACATCTCTTAATTTTACAAGGGAGAGTAACGCAGT